GCAGCCCCGCCTCTGACGTGCGCTCGCGTAGTGCAGCCAGGGAGCCGACGAGAGGAACGCAAGTAGGCCCCGCCCCTGGCCCCCTTGGGCCCGCCCCGGAAGTAGCTCCTGCGGCTCTTCTAGGGCGGGAGATCCCGCCCTCCCAGGCCTGGAGAGTTGGAGCTGCGCCTGCGCCCTGGGGTAAGGTTCTAGGCCCAAGAGGCGAGTGAGTGGGGGTGGGCCTAGGCAGAAACTGTTCAGTAGTTGACATATGTGCCTTTTAAGGACGCGAGGGGGAGAGAAGAGCATTTGGGGAAGAGGGCAGAATCCGGCGAGCCCGAGCTCACCGGAGAGAGCTTTTTGCTTCCTTCGTTCCAGCCTGTTTCCTGTCGAGAAGCGCGTTCCCGTGGCCTCAGGTGTCACTCTTCTCACCGGACACACTGCCCTGCCCTTTGACCCAAAGATCTCACTAACAGGGACCACCCCCCAGTAATCTGAAATACAGGCAGCTGTGACAGAGCTCTGGCTAGGGCGTATTGGTTTCTGTGCAGTCATCTCAGCAGCCTGTAACCACGGATCTGGTTTGAGTTCTGTCACAGAATTTCTGGCCTGTCATGTACCTGTGCTACGGAACCTTGGGCACCATGCCCGGGCGGGGCAGAAGCTCCCGGTTACTCGCTCCTTTGGGCTGCCAGCCTGCTAGTTCTTGGAGAAGTGTTTACATCTTGCTCAGAGTGGGCATTTAGGGCAGGTTGATTTGATGAGTTCCCCTGAGGGACCAGAGACAAGTCCCCCTTCCCCAGGGATACTGTACCAGGAATGGTCTCATAGGGCAACATGTACAAATTCCTTCTGGGACTGTTGTATTTTTTAAAAAAGAATTATTTAACTTTATTTATTTAAATTTGATGGAGATGGGGAGGGTTAGTGAGAAAGCAAGCCGCCAGGTCTGGGACTCAAACCACAGTCGGCCACATGGGAGTCCAGCGCTCTTAACCACCATGCCACTTGCTGGCCCCCTGGGACTGTTTTTCTTTTCTTTGGAGAGGTTTTTGCTATAGGGTGCATGCACTTGCCAGAAAGACAGAGAGAGACAGAGAGACAGAAAGCGAGAAATCACCCACCCCCTGGGGTATGGCCACATCACAATCCTTTCTCCTCCATTCGCCTCTCAGGATCTTGGGCATGCACACACATGCGCCCAGCGTGAGTTTAAGCCACCGGGTCCAGGACTCAAACCGTGGTCGGCTACATGGGAGTTCAGTGACATAGCCATTATGCTAACTGCTGGTCCCTGGGACTGTTTTTCTACGTAGACAGAGAGAGTAGACTTGGCCCTCCCTGTCTGGTTGGGGAGGTGGCCTACATGGTTGGTAGAGCTGTGCTCCAACACAGTTGGCATTCTGTGCAGCCTCAGCAGCTCTTGAGTGGGGGCTGGGCCCCCAGAACAGCATCCCTACACTTTGTTATAAGACATTCCATTGTTTCCAAGGCCCTTTCCTAGAAAAGAAAACATCCAGCATAGACAACATGCTTCACTAAAACTGGGAACGGAACGTGCCCAGTTCGCCAAAGTCACATTAATTTGCAGGGCTAAAGCTCCAAAGCAGGAAGGGCTGAATCCTTAGAAAGAGCATGTCTGTCAGCACTTTAGCCCAAGGGCTGGCAGAACTCCTAGGCCTGGGCTGAGGGAAGTGTATGGACTAAGACACACCATCAGATAACACACGTGTGATAGCACACGTGTGGGAACACGGGCACAAGAACACTATGGATTTATAAACACTGCACGTTATGGGGTGAAATATAGGTAATATGACACCTGCCATTGTGACCATTTAAATTCAGAGGTATTATGTTCTCAGTAATATTGATTTGAGAACTTCAAGAAGGTGAAGAAAAATGGAATTAAACTGAGTTTATTTTGGTGCAAAATGTTTTAATATCCATGGTTTCTTCATAATAAACATTTTCACGAACTTTTGGAAGTTCCCACATATACTTCTATGAGCCTAGTTACATCGATACAAATATAGAGAGTCTAAGGTAGTAAATGCAATCAAGAATAGTGGTGAAGGGACCAGCAGTTAGGGTAATGGCTATGTTGCTGGACTCCCATGTAGTTGACCACGGTTCGCGTCCCGGACCCGGTGGCTTAAAACTCACACCGGGCGCGTGTGCATGCGTGCCCAAGATCCTGAGGAGAATGGAGGAGAAGGGATTGCGGCGTGGCCATCTCCCCCTAGGGGGTGATTTCTCGCTTTCTCTCTCTCTGTCTCTGTCTGTCTGGCGAGCGCACGTGCCCTATAGCAAAAACCTCTACAAAATAAGTAAAAAAATAAAAATGCACACCTAAAAATGAAAAAAAAAAAAAAGAATAGTGGTTAAAAGGGATTTAAAAGTTAACAGTGGGGCCAGCACATGGAGTGGTGGTTAGGGTGCTGGACTCCCACATGGCTGACCGCAGTTTGAGTCCTGGCTCAGCAGCTTGAGAATCATGCCAGGCACATGTGCATGGATAACCAAAATCCCAAGAAAAGGAAGAGACTGAGGTATGGCCATCCCTTCTGGGGGGATGCTTTCTCACTGTCCCTCTTCCTCCAGCAAGTACAAACACCCTGTAGCAAACTTTAAAATCAGTTTATTTTGGTGCAATGTTAAAATCAAGGCAGTTTTTTTCATACAATGCATTTTTCATGGGTTTTGGAGACGCTTTGTGCAAACCTGGGAGTGGGCACCAATAGCTGGGTGACATGAGCCTTGATGCCTGTGCAGAAGGGCAGAGACCTGGAGCTGTGGGTGAGTACCTCCACCTGGGCCTTCCCATGCGTGCTGTTGTGCCTCAGTCTGATCCGAGTGTAGAGCCCAGACTGTTAAAACCTGGGCCCAGTATAGGCACTTAGCAGAGACTGGCCTCTCTTGCTTGTGCCCCAGCATAGACCCCATGTCATGTTTTTTTGGGTCCTTGGGCCCCTGCGTCAATGTTGGTACCCAGACCTGAGATGGCACTTTCACCCACTCAGTTCCTTCCTGCGGGTAGACAAGTGGCGAACCGTCCAATGGCGGTAACCCGATGGGCCTATCACTGCGCATATACCTGTTGACAGCTTCACCTGAAGCCACCTGCTGCCCCCTTAGGTTAGGCAACCAGATTGCAGGTGAGAGGGAAGTGCCCTCATCTGGGCCTGTCTCAAGTCACAGTGCAGGAATCTAAAGCCTGGCCTGGGAACCAGCAGTTAGTGTAATGGCTATGTTGCTGGACTCCCATGCAGTCGACTGCGGTTCGTGTCCTGGACCCAGTGGCTTAAAACTCACGCCCGGCGCGTGTGCGTGCGTGCCTAAGATCCTGAGAGGAGAACGGAGAAGGGATTGTGGCATGACCATCCCCCCTGGGGGGTGACTTCTTGCTTTCTGTCTCTATGTCTCTCTCTCTGTCTGTCTGGCGAGTGCACGTGCCCTATAGCGAAAACCTCTCCCCAAAAAAACCAAAACAAAATAAAGCCTGGCCCGGCTGACCTCCCACCCAGTCCTGTGCCTCTGCTGAAGTTTTAATGATGTGGAATTGAAGGGATGGCTGAGTGCCGGCCCAGTCCACGTAGGGACCAAACACTGGGCCCCACAGAGCTGAACTGGGCCTTGTGTCTCAGCCAGCCCCTATCTAGCACTAAGACCCTCCTCCTTGGGGTTGGGATAGCCTTGCACATGTGTTTGCAGCCTCGTCACCCCTTCCTCCAAGGTTCAAATCTATCTTAGGTCAGGGCCTTTGGAATTTAAATGGGTCTTTCCTAGGTGTGCACACCAGGATGGCGCCCTCTGGTGGTGATCAAGAGAAGGCATGTACACCTCTTCATGAGCCTTAACGCAGCCCCATGTCACCAGCCCAGCCTAGGGAGAACCGGCTCGGGTGAGGACGGCTGGCTCTCAGTGGTTCAAGGAAAACACCATGGGTGACTAACGGTTTCCCAAGGTGGGGGTGACTGGGGATGGAGGGGTTGAGACTAAGCTGAAGAGAGGCCCTCAGAAAACATAGTGCTGCCTGATCAGAGTCCAGGAGTACAGTGTCGGTTGCTGCCATCTTCCCACCACCAGCCCCGACCAGGGGCTCAGGCGCTACTGCACTGTGCAGCAAAGTGGACTGTGCCTCCTCCCCCTCCCACTTCACAGCAGCCTGGAACCTCAGGATGGGACCTGATTTGGAAACTGGGCATCTGCAGATATAGCTCGTGGGGTTAGGATAAGGTCACGTAGGAGTAGGAAAGGTCTCAATCCAGACAGACATGAAGGCAGAGAGAGTGGACCATGCCCTCCCTGTGGGCCTTTGACATCCGTTTCCTTTACTCTTCTTGAACATGGAGCCTGGCCAATATGCCTGGAGTGACTGACCTCAGGCTGGGCTACTGTAGGGTAGACAGCAAAAGTGGTGGAACATCTGAGTGGAGGGTGAAATGCACATGCCCTGTCCTCTCGCCCCAATCCTGGAGAGCACAGCAAGACAGCTAAGGGGCCCCAGGAAGGCTGCCAAACAGTGAGGGAGAGATGGGTCTCCAGTAAGAAATTGAAAGGAGCCAAGCAGGGCTGTTTGTGGATTTAATGGCGGGCAGAATAGGGGCCTGTGGGGGGCCCGCGGAGTGCACAGTGGGCAGCACAAAGTCCCTTCCAGCTGGTGACCAGGAATGTCAAGGGGCACCAGGGGATGTGGTGTGGACAGGTTCTCTCACAGGGACTTGATTGCCTCGTGTGCTTGAGGCCCACAGCCCCTCTGCAGCGTCCCCGACACCACCCTAGGCCATCACTCATGACTGCTCCTCTCTCTCCTTCTGCTGGGGCTGGAGTGTGGGAGGAGGGTGGCTCAGGCCCCAGGGACAGACAGATGGCCTGCTTCAGCAGGGCCTGCAATGGCCCAGCGCTTGGTGCTTGAGGAATGTAGCTTGGCTTGGGGACAGCAGCGGTGGTGGCTGGGGGAATGGGGAGGGCCCCAGCGTGGGGCCAGGAATGTAAGCTGAGGACTGTGGTCCCGAAGTCCTCCCGACATAGGGTCGGGTGGTGGGAAGGGGGAGTAGGACAGGCAGACAAAGCAATTGAGGAGGTGGGGTTGCCTGTTGGCACCAACGCTCAGAGCTTGTGGGGGTTCACCCACTTGTAGGTGCCCTCGTACTGGAAGCCTACTCTCTTCATCAACTCGTCTGCCTCCGTGGGGCCCCGGCTGTGAGAAGGCAGGTGAGGAGAGCCGTGAGGGCACTGCCCACCCGCACCTACCCAGTGCCTGCTGCCATGGTCTGGCTCCCTGCTGCCACAGCCCGTCTGCCCCCCCTGCCATAGATGTAGGGGATGGGCTGGGGCTTCTCCCGCTCGATCTGGTGCAGCAGAGGAGTGAAGATCCTCCAGGCCTCCCGAAGCTCGTCACTGAGGGTACACGACATGGCTCTGGGGGCCTGGGTGCAGGATAGGGGGGCAGACTGCCCTCATAGCCTGGCGCCCCTGTCCCTGGTCTCCCAGGGTGACACTGGGCCCTCCCTTACCTGCGCACGAAGTGCATCTGGCTCCCACAGAAGACATCCAGGATGAGGCGCTCATAGGCGTCAGGGAGCTTCACGTTCTACTGGGACAGGGGACCAGCTGAGCACCACAGAGGTGCAGCAGAGGCCGCCTGCCCTGCCCTGCCCCACCCCCTGCGGGCACCTTGTATCTGTTGCCATAGGTCAGGTCAAGCTCTGACTCCTCAGGGTTGAAGAACATGCCAGGCTTCTTGGTCATCATCTTGGTGTACACGGCCTCGTTGGGCTGCACGCGGATCACCAGCTCGTTGCGCTTGCACTGCTGGTGGAAGATGTCACCAGCCACGTCCCGGAACTGCAGCCGCACCTCAGCTTTGCGCTCATTTAGGGCTTTGCCGCAGCGCAGGATGAAGGGCACCCCTGCACACAAGGCCAGCCTCAGGACCAGGCGAGTGCAGTGTTGTGCGCCCGCCACCACTGGCCACCCCCAGGTGTCACCTACCATCCCACCTCTCGTTCTCCACATAGAGCACCACAGCCGCAAAGGTGGCCGTGGTGGA